TTCTCCCAAGACTTCTGGATCAATCCTTCAATGGAGCCTCTATCCCAGCTTCCTCTTTAATCAAACCACCTTAGAACAGGATGCTGAGTTTCTTTTCTTAAAGGGTACTCTTACTTACCACTACTGTTTTATTATTTCTGCTGCCTTTCTCTTCTTTATTTCTCAGAATTCAGCATATTCTAGAAGAAGGTAGAGTACAGATGTGTTTTTGTGACTCAAACCAAAATGAGTCTTTCTCCTGTCATAATTATAAGTAGGGCCCTAGGCTGTGTTTACTGCCTCTAAAATAAATGTGGTGCTTAGCTTCTCAGTTGCAACACTTTCCAGCTTTTATGAAAGAAATAAACAAAAATAAAATGTTATTTTAAAAGTAGTGTCAGAAATTAAATAAATTACCCTCAATAGTGCTGTATAGTTTTAAAAATTTGGAAGGATTGTTCAGTAAAATCTCCACAGCAAGCACCCCACCCCCACCCCCGAAAAAAGCGTTCTGCATTTGGCAATGATTATGTCTAATCCTGTTACAACTGTGTAGTCTGATTTTTTAATTTTTTCTCAAATTATATGTAGAATCAGTATGGTGTAGTGTTGAAAGACTTAGTCTCTGTTGCCAGGCTGTGTAGTTCCCAGCATTATCATGCATGGGCTATGGAGACTCATAAAGTTAGGATGGTGATTAAATTAGTAGAAAAAAGCAAAACCCTTATAAAAGTGTCTGCCACATAAATACTAAGTACATATTTGCTTATTATTATGATTTTTTTCCTTGTACTGGGGATTGAACTCAGGACCTTGTTTGTGCTTTCGAGGCAGGCGTGGTGCCACTGAGCTAAATACCTGGCCCTCACATTTACTTATTTTTAAGTCAAGTTTTTAAAGGTATAATTTGGGTTACAGTTTAAAATGCAGTGAATTTCACCCTTTTAAATGTGCCATTATATGATATCCACCACAATCAATCCATAGAACATTTCTGTTATCTTGTTAGAAAACAGTGTTTATGCAGAATTATTGTAGTCATCCAGTGTGTAGATTTCTTAGTCTGACTTCATTCATTAAGCATGGGGATTGGGAACCTTTTCTTTAAAGGACCAGATAGTAAGTGTTTTGCCTCGAGGGCTGTATGATCTGTGTTATGACGCTCACCTTTGCTGTAGCAGTATTCAGTGCATAAGTGTATTGATTCAGCATGACTATCTTCCAATAAAACTTTGTTTACAAAAATGGGTGGCAGCCATATTTGGCTGATGGTCATACTTTGCTGAGTCCCGGCTTAGCATGATACCTTTGAGGTTTATTCATGTTGTGATGTGCATCAGTAGTTTGTTTAGTCTTTTTAAAAATTGCTGATTTTCTGGGTGTGGTGGCATAGGCCTGTAATCCCAGCACTTAGGAGGCTGAGGCAGGAGGATTGCCATGAGTTCTAAGACATCCTGGGCTACATAGTGAGTTCAAGGCCAGCCTGAACTACATAGCAAGATTCTGTATCAAAAAACCAAAAACCAAAAAATAATTGCTGATTATTATCCTGTTGCATAGATAACATGCAGTTTAGTCTTTCACCAGGTGAAGGACATTTGGTTTTTTCCAGTTTTGAACAATCGCAAATAAAGCCATTATAAACTTTTGCTGTACGCATATTTTTGTATGCATATTTCTATGCATACATAGGTTTTCATTCTTTTTGGGTAATTACCTAGGAGTGCATTTGCTAGGTTGAATGGTAAGTATACGCTGACCTTCTTCAGACACTTTCAAACCATTTTCCAGAATGGGCTGCATCATTTCACATTACCAGCAGCAATATAAGAGAACTCCAATTGTGTTTTATCCTCACCAGCACCTGGTATTATTCTTTTTTTTAAAATCTTACTCATTGTAAAAGAGGATGAAGACTCTTAGATGCCAGAGTAAAGATATGTACTTTTAACAAATTATATTGGAAACTCTTGAGAGGTTTTACACATATCAGTTATGTTATTTGGGCTTAAAATGATTACTCCAGATGCAACAAGGAAAATGATTTGGCAAGAGGAAGGGTAAATGTGCAAAGACCTTTGGGAGCATGTCATATAGGTTGCAGTGAAGAGAGGAAGTGACCAGGTGTGAGAAATTTTCAGGAGCTGGAATTGGTAGAGCTCAGTGATTGATCAGTTACAGCACTGAAGAGAGTGGAAGCTGTCAAGGATGCCTCCAGAATTTCTGGCATATATACATAAGACACCCAGAATAGAGGTCCCTGGGCAGTTTGATATCTGGGTTTCAGAGTGGGGGAACAAAATTAGAAGTCATTGTGGTATAAGAGGTATTTGATGATATGAGGTAGAGAAGATTCTCTAGGGAGAGAGTTCTTATGCTCTGAGAAGAATGAATAGGATGCATTTAAGAGGAGTGTCAGTGATTTGTGTTGGGCAGTTGAGTGACATCCAGAGGAAGCTGAGAGTGATTTGGAGAGACTGACGAGAAAAAGAGAATTGTCTCAAAGATGCTGAGGTGAGTGAACAGACAGTTGCGAGCTACTGGAAGGAGTGGAATAGGGGGCATTAGTTTGTCCTGTTGGTGGTAGTGGCTGTGGTATGTATGTAAAAAGCCTAGTTAGAGGCAGTTGATGGGTAAGGAGTAAGGCCATAGACAAACAAGCGCTTACAGATTGTTTAAGAATTTGTAGGATGGTAATTAGAAACCTATGAAAGAAGTATTTTTTAATTGTTAAGAAGGGACTGTTAGAACATGCTGGTGAGAAGGGTGAGTGAAGCAGGGCACAAACACGGGAGAAACAGTACACCCAACAGCGTAGCTGATGCTGATCAGATCAAGTCTGCCTCCTAAAGGAGAACCTCAAGCAGTCGAGTTTAACCTTCATATGTAGAGCAGAACAGGGAGCTTTTAGTATTACCAGGTTCTAATGAACTATATCATAATATGGTCTTTAAATGTATTTCTCAAGTATTTCTAGAAAACCTACCAAGCAGAAAATGTCAGCAATTCTTTTGATGTGTGAAAATGCTCTGGTGTTTTAGTCACTTGTCAGTCTCATGTCCAAGTCCTGCCCATCTGTCATGGTGCAGCTGAAGCCCTCAGATGAAAGATTCTCCCTCCCTCCTTCCCTCATCTGAATGGTCATAGCCTGGTATGGTTATTCCCTCTATTTTGACATTTGTTCTTTTTACATACTTGTTATATATGTGCAGTGAGTGAGTATGTGTGTGTGTTTAACAGTGGCAGCAGTGGTAAATATATATTCATTCCTTTCATTAGATGACAGAAGGCAAAGACCATAACCGAGAGATATTCTTTCCTCTAAAATACCTGGCAGCAATACTTACTTAGTTTGTTACCTTAAATATATATAAAGGTAAACATGAGGAAGTAATTACTAGCAAATAATTAGGAAGAGTTATACTTTGCAGAATAGGATTGTTGTGGCTTGGCATCTGAGGTAATAGTGTGAAAAATCATGGCACCTGACTGATTATAACCTTTGTTTTTATGGTACTTAGTAAGATATGTTTTGAAATTTCTTTTTTATATGCTATTAAGGAATCAAATTATTTGATAATAATAGTAACAAGTACTGTAGGACAGTACTATGTAGTTTACTAATAACTGATGATATTACTGCATTTCGACAGAAGATAAGCCAGATATGGAGAGACAGAGACATCACAGGGGCTTTGTCTTCATTTTAGAGAAATGGAGAAACTAAGGTCCAAAGAGACACTGTGTTAGAAGTTACATTGCTGATAAACAGGAGTGCAGAGACTCAAGTTGGGATGTGTTGACCCTAATCCAGGGTTTTCCCAGGACACCCTCTGGTTGCTAGATTGATTTTCATAGAAATCCATTTAGCTTAATAATAATTAAATCCAGTCATAGAAGGTAATTTATTTTATTTACTGGATAAAAAATCCACTTATCCTGAATGATTAGAATAATCTCTAAGTGTAAGCATAAGTCTTTTTGAACAAACTTTGGCCTGAACATCCATATGTGGCCTCTTCAGCAAGCAGAATGGGAAAAATACCACCATTATGGATTATGATGATGCTGTTTTAAAGAGAAGGAAATAGATGTTGCATATCCATGGGTTACTAATAGAGCAATACTGGTTACTACTGTTTAGTGTAGTGAATAAGCCTAGTGTTAACAGTTTAGAAAAAAACAAATACCTATTTCTCTGGGCTTTGACTCTGATTTCAGGCTCTGGCAACTACTTATTTTTTTGAATACTAGTATCACTTTTTGAATACCAGTGTTTTTTTGAATATCAGATTTGAGATGATGGTAAATTATGTAAGAATTAGGACTAAAGAAGGTCATTATCCTTTAAGAGGAACAGACCTAGCTTTAATTATTAAGTTTTCAGAAAAGGAAACACTATACAATAAATACATGAAGTTCTTGCTTTTGTATTAAAGTATTTAATGGGGAAGACTCTGACTAAAATATTTGAAAAATATGATTCCAGTTAAACATAGCTGATTACTTAAGCTGCTAAGCAGATTCATTTTGATTGTACTAACTTAAACTTATAGAACCCAAACTCTAGAATATAGTTTTGCCAAGGAAATGGAGGAATGAGGAATATATGTTTTTAAGAAATTGCAGAAAGCAAAGTGCTATTTTCTCTTCCTTTCTTGTGACATCAATACATTTAAATATTATCTGGATGAATTGTTGCTGCTGGGTGAAATATTTCCTTCTTTTGCCCTCTAAATCGTATTAGGTATTTGGGTAGAAATAATTGAACTTGTCTCTATATAAAGCCATAACAAGCAGTTGAGGTATTGAATCTGAACTGTCTTTTAGTTGAGACTTACGTGAAGAAATGCACTCAGCACTCCTTTCCCACGTAATGCTGGTCCTGTACGTCCGTGGGTAATCTGGCCTTGCTCTGCTATCCCTTATCTCCACTACAAATTCCTTCTTTTAGTGTACTGTAAAATGTATTAAATCAGCATTCCAGATGAATGCCTGAAAGTGGTCTGCTTTTCCATCAGGTGAACCTGGCCTATGTGGAAGCAGCAGAGTGCTTTGAACCTGTTAACAGGGAGCCTCCTTCCAGAGAAGCTCAACTCCTGACTTTGCGAAACACTTTGGAATTTGATATCCTTGTGATTGGAGGAGGAGCAACGGGAAGTGGCTGTGCGCTTGATGCTGTCACCAGAGGTGAGTCCTGATGTGTGTGAAGGTGATGCAGGTCAAGGCTCCCCCTCGCCCCATACAGAGACAGTGTGTGTGCTGTGTTAGTGAAGTCTCGTTTCTTTAGCATTCCCTAATTTTTCTTCCTTTGTGAAACACTGTCACAATTTTTAAAACATCACACTTGACAATTTAAAAATTAAATATAACTTGTCTTCACTACAGTGGATTTGTTTAAAAAGAAAATTGTACATTTCTGCAAACTCATTGATTTGATACTGTTTAAATTTTTCTAATGCATAGTAAATATGTTTACATTATATGAAATAAAAATATGTATCACCTGAAATCATATTTATGTCATTCTGGGGGCAGAAAAAGATTTATTAAATGAAATAGTCTAGTAAGATAATTCTTTTGGTTCATGCATCTCTTAAAACTGTCTTCTGGTGAAGTATGAACTGCAGTTCAGAAAGTCTAATTGGCACTTCAGTTCATGAACTTGATTCTTTTCACAATTCTGGTCTCAAAGCGAGTTGGATGAGAACTAAATCAAATTCAATGGTTAGATTTAATGTTGACCTTATGGAGAAATCTGAGTTGGTTCTCATCCAGTTCAGTTGTGACTAGAATCATGGAGAGAATTGAGTTCATGAACCAAGGCATCACTGTAATGGAAAACACTCTGTCCCCGTCACCCTGTCTACTATTGATAAGCATTAGGGAAGACATGATGAAAAGTTCCCTGAAGATGGAAAGATGACATGTACAGAATGAAAGTGTAGTACGGAAGAGCAGTGCTCTTGCATATGGTGTAGTGTCTTAGTTACTTTTCTATTGTTGCTGAGACAGAATACCTGACATTCAAATTTAAAGGGGAAAGGGTTTATTTAGCCCGCAGTTCATAGAGGTTTCAGTCTATAATCGGCTGGCTTCAAGGCAGGATAGCAGAGGCAATAGTTCATGGTGGAGGAAGACTGCAAAAGCAACAAGAGACCGTAACAGCATCTTTCTGCCTCTTTTATCTTATAGACTACTTAGGGCAGGTAGCACTCACACCCTTGATCCTAGTGCCCTTGGGCCTAGCCCCACCATGAATCAGTCACACACTCTAGATTCAGCTACCTCTGAAAAAGCATAAGGCTTTTGGGGGAGCCATCTATATAAGCTATAACATATAGTTAATAAAATAATCTTTTTCTTTACCTGTGAGATTAGTGTAGAATATGGAGTCAAGGAAATACAGGTACATATTTTGAGTCAGCTTTGTTATTAGGTGTGTGTGTGTGTCTCTCTGTGTATTTGGGCATATTTTACTTGATGTCTCTGAGGTTCATGTTTCAAATAGGTTAAAAAAATACCTTCTTTGAATGATTTTTGTGTTCTTGTGTAATCAAGAAGAGACTTGGAATGGTACTTTGTCACACAAAGTAGATGCTTAATAAAACAGAATTATAGCTACTATTATTAATATGAAGGTAAAAGATTTTTAGAATTAGTTGCCTTGAAGAAATAATACTACAGGATATCCTCAGTGTATTAAATTGGGCCTGGCATGGTGATGCACAGAGAGGTTGAGACAGGAGAACTGGCACAAGTTTGAGCCAGTATGGGCTACATAATGGGTTCAAAGCCAGCCTGGACTTCATTAGCGAGATCCTGTCTCAAAACAAAACAAAAATCCCCAAAAATGTATTAAATTGGGCTAGGTACTGCTGCAAGGAGTTTTACCTCTGTATTATTTTAGTTTTTAAATCATGTTCAATAATTATGACAGTTTCATACTTTATGATAATAATTTATTATGGAATAATTTTTCTCACACTAATGAAGTTCCTACCAATGCTACCCGAGGTTTATTTATCTTATATACCTGGTAGAATTTACTCTCATAGAAATGAAGATTTAATGAGATTTAAGCACACATAAACAAAAAATGCCCTAGATTACTATGATTTCACGGCACCCACATTTAGGTTTTGATCTCTGTGAACCTCATTGCTGAGTCCTTTTTTGTTAACTTTAATAATGGTAAGTTCAAAGTATAGGCACTGGAATCTAGTTGACCTAAATTTCCTTTCTCCAGCCATAGAATGTAATTTACACCAGACTATCTCTGGACATGCAAAAGCAGATGGTAAGAGCAGCTGTAGGTATCACAAATTGAACTCAACTTTGTACCTCAGGGGACCTCGCAGGAGAAAAGAGAGAAGGAACCATTCCCAACGTAATGGACAGTCTTGTTTGGGACCACTTCTCTCAGAATTAAAATTTAGTAGGTGACAATTTTGTGTATCAAAAAGAATCGTGTCCCCAGTAGGATTCAGAAAATTATATTTCTTGATATTTCCAGTTATTTTCATGCTATTGTACTAAAATACATAACCATTCTTTTTATTTCAGTTCTGAAAATACTCATTGAGAGCCTGTTGTATGTATGGCAAATATGTAGGGTACTACAAGAGACTACAAAGATGATTGATAGAGTTGGTACCTCAGAGTTCTCTAGTGTTTGTTTGCATACAGCAGATTGTGTTATAGGAAATGTGTGCCTTTCAAAAAGCTCAGAGACATGATAAAAGTATGAATAGGGGAAGGAGTTGTATCTTCAGAGAATGGTCAGAGACAGGAAAGCTGCTGTTTGGCATAGGTAATTTTAATAGGCAAATATTTCTTGTTGAAAGTGCTCCAGTCTCAAGGAACATGCAGGAGGGACAGCATGGACTCAGTGTATGTGACAGACAGAGCATACTTTAATTCGTTTTGTTTGCTTTTTGAGATAGGGTCTTGTTATGTAGCTTAGGGTGGGCTTGAACTCACCTGTCAGCCTAGGCTGACCTCAAACTCATGGTGATCCTTCTGCCTCTGCCTCCCAAGTTCTGGGATTACAGCTGTGTGCCACCTTGCCTGGCTTGTCCTTTAATTTGGAGCAGAATATTAATCAGCTTTCCTGTCACAGACACAAAATACCTGACACTCACAATTTATAAGAGGAGAGGTTTATTTTGGCTCACAATTTTCAGAGGATTTAGACCATGGTCGATTTGCTCCAGGGAAGAAACTGTATGATGGCAGTGAATGGCATAGGAAAACTGTTCATTCCAGGACAGCCAGGAATCAGAGAAAGAAGGGAGGCACTGGGGACAAGAGTATACCCTTCTGGGTCATACCCCAGTGTCCCGCCACTTCTGGTTGGGCCTCACCTCATAATAGCCATTCAACCAGGAATTTGTCAATGGATTAATCCACTGATGAGTACAGTGCCCTCGCAGTAACAGGAGGGGAGAGGCATGTCTGACCATGGTATTATTAGAATTTCTTCTATTCTTTTTTCTTGTCCCTTCCTTCCTTTCCCCCTTCTCCCTCCCTTGTTCTGTTTCTCATTTGAACATTTTCTCCCCATTTGTCAATATCTATTATAATGCGTGTGTGTGTATATATATATATATATATATATATACACATACTATTTTACTATATATTATATATTATAGAAATTTATTCTACTTATTGGTAAGAGGAATGTAGTTACATAGTATAGTGTATATAGTAGAGTATAGTGTATATAATATTCTTTTTAATCGCAAAATCTCTTACTTATTTTTACTCAGTGACTGTAGATTTTGACTTTTTTTTTTTAAGTGCTGGTATTGAACCTAGAGCTTCACACATTCTTAAGCACATAGTCCATCTTCACCGAGCTATGCCCCAGCCCAGTTTTTTTTTCTATTTAAAACAATATTATTTATTTATGAGTCAAGAATTGAATTGAAGCAACTCTGAGAACACAAAGACTAATTAGATGTGGCCTTGCTCTCCAGGAGCTTACAGTTTATTAGTGCTTATTGAACAAATAGATTTTTTCTTTGAGTGGGGAAGGGCATTCAGAAGCAAGCAGAATGAATCAGGGCATTCGTGGGTGACTTGGGTGGTGGTGACTGTGGTAGTGGTAGTGGTGGTGATGATGATACTTTTCAGGGCTTGAATGTTGATCAGCATCGTAAATTTTATAGTTAGTAATGGCTAAAAAATGATGTACTTTTAATATCCTTTGACATATTGATTGCTGTCCTAAAGTAATTGGCTGAATATTTTGAATTTATATAGAATTATGATTTATAGAAGGAATCAACAAACTTTAGCATATATGTCCTTTATTATACTGTTAGCTCTTTGGGGATAATGTTTATAATTAAAATGTATAAAAAGATACTGAAAGTAATCTATATTTATCCTTTTACTGCAATTTTTGATCATATCAGTAGCTCTCTGAAGTGTGAAATAATCATGGGCATTTGGTTAATGAATTGTGCATTGTTGGTGTTCATTCATGGAATTTGCTCTTTTATTATATTTGATGCTTCACTTAACAACAAATTTTGCTTTCTCTGTGTTTGATATGTTTTTACCAAATTATTCCTGATTGTATCCATTAATCTTTAGTCACATTTGACAAAAATAAATTACTGTGATCTTTTAAAGTTACCAGTAATAATTAGATTTTTCAGGACATCAAAGTTTTGGGGGAAGCTATTAGATGTTAAAGGGCTTGTGTAAAAATGTTTGCACAAGCCTTTTGATGAAATACTGTACACAAATGCAATTTTGGTAATAGATAAACAAAGACTGTAGAAGGAAGAGAAGTCATGGAGTCTTCATAACGAACATTTATTTACATTCCCATCATCCCCCTTTGCTTGAGAATCAATTTTCATTTGGGAATACAGTATTACTTCATAAACAAAAATATGCACAATTCTCCTCACGTTCTCCTGCAGGTCTCTAGGATCAATAGAAACTGCTTCACTGTTTAACACCTTTGTGTCTGGTTCCCAGGCAGAAGCAGTCCTGAAGCCCAGTTGTGGGTTCTTCACTCCTAAAGGAAGCAGGAACATGGAGAATCTGATGAATATATTCACTACCACAGGGTTCTCCAATGTGTTTTCTTTAGTTCTTTATATTCTTTTGTGTGACTCTACCTGTGTCGACAATTTCCCAGAACATTTTTGGTTTAAGATTTGATTGAT